TTTGTCATTGCCCTTCTTTGGGATGGAAGGAATACTGACATTTTCTAGTCCTGTGGCCACTGATGAGTTTTCCAAATTTGCTGGCATATTGAGTGCAGCACTTTCACAGCATCATCTTTTAGAATTTGAAATAGCTCGGTTGGAATTCTATCACCTCCATTAGCTTTGTTCAGAGTGATGCTTCCTAAGGCCCACTTGACTTCACATTCCAAGATTCTGGCTCTAGGTGAGTGATCACACCATCGTGATTATCTGGGTTGTGAAGATATTTTTTGTATAATTCCCCTGTGTATTCTTACCACGTCTTCTTGATATCTACTGTTTCTGTTAGGTCCATACCATTTCTGTCCTTTATTGTGCCCATCTTTGCATGAAATATTCCCTTGGTATCTCTAATTTTCTTGAAGAGATGTCAAGTCTTTCCCATTCTGTCTTTTCTTTCAACACTTGGAAAATATTGTGTCCCTTCCTTCTGGCCTCCACGATTTCTGATGAACAGACCAGGGATGGTCCTGAACCACCATGGAGACAGAGCATGACATGTCCCTCAAGTATCTGCCATTTCTGTCTCCCTGTCTAAAGAATTGTAGGATCCATGCACTATTCCCCATCCCACTATGTAAGTAGAATTGGGGCTAAAAGTCTCCTGTTGTTTCTGAGTTTGTCCTTGCACATGAGCTACTTCATGATCATGGTTTACTTGAATGTCACTCAGTTCTGTAGTGAGTCTCAGATTGATTTAGTTTTGGTCCGCAACTGACCTCCAGGATCCATGTCCTACCTAGGTGATTGCTGCCACCAGCATGACATCCTCAGAGGAGACTAATTTGGAGGCAGTCTGCATTCTCCTTTAGTGTTCTGCTGACCCACACCTATGTAAGACCTGCCATTTCATCTCCCTAAATGGCAACAAGATGTAATTGTTGTGTGCTGACCAGGGATAACTAGAGAAAATCACCACAGGGAAGACATGTTCATTTCCCAGGGCTTTCATAACAAAGTAGCACAAATGATGTGGCTTATAATAACAGAAATTTACTCTCTCACAGGTATGGAGGCCAGGCCAGAAGTTCAGAATAAATGTGCTGGCAGGGCCATGCTCCTCCTGAAGGCTATTAGGAAAGCTCCTTCCTTGCCTCCTCTAGCTTCTAGTGGCCCCTGGCAGAATTATTCCAACCTCTGTTTCTGTCTTCATATGACTGTCTTTCCAATGCATGTGTCTATGTCCAATCCCCCTCTTGTAATAAGGACTAGTTGTATGGATTACAGCTCATCCCAGTGGCCTTACTTTAACAATCAAATCTACAATGACCTTATTTGCAAGTAAGATCACATACATAGTGTTAAGGCTTCAGCATCCTTTTGGGGAACACAGAGGGAAAAGGCTTAAAAAGTGAAACTGAATATAAATGTTAACAGAGTACAAGGAACTAAAACCCTGTTGAGGACACTCTAATGAGCCCATTCTTGTTTTTGGATGTTTCATGTAAATGCAATCCTATCTTCATGTGATCTTTTTCCTGGCTTCTTTCACTTAGTATAATGCTTTCAAAGCTTATTCACATTGTCACATGTAACTGTACTCCATTCCTTTTTTTTTTTTCCCTTTAAATATTTTATTTTATTATTTTTTTTCCATTTATTTTTATTAGTTGGAGGCTAATTACTTTACATCATTACAGTAGTTTTTGTCATACATTGAAATGAATCAGCCATGGATTTACATGTATTCCCCATCCCAGTCCCCCCTCCCACCTCCCTCTCCACCCGATCCCTCTGGGTCTTCCCAGTGCACCAGGCCCGAGCACTTGTCTCATGTACCCAACCTGGGCTGGTGATCTGTTTCACCCTAGATAATATACATGTTTCAATGCTGTTCTCTTGAAACATCCCACCCTCGCCTTCTCCCAGAGTCCACAAGTCTGTTCTATACATCTGAGTCTCTTTTTCTGTTTTGCATATAGGGTTATCGTTACCATCTTTCTAAAGTCCATATATATGTGTTAGTATACAGTAATGGTCTTTATCTTTCTGGCTTACTTTGCTCTGTATAATGGGCTCCAGTTTCATCCATCTCATTAGAACTGATTCAAATGAATTTTTTTTAATGGCTGAGTAATATTCCATGGTGTATATGTACCACAGCTTCCTCATCCATTCGTCTGCTGATGGGCATCTGGGTTGCTTCCATGTCCTGGCTATTATAAACAGTGCTGCGATGAACATTGGGGTGTCCATTCCTTTTTAAAAATATATTTAAAAAAAAATATTTATTTATTCACTGCATCAGGTCTTAGTTGCAGCACATAAAATCTTCATTGTGTGCCCGATCTCCCTAGTTGTGGCATGCAGCCTCAGTAGTTGTGGCACACAGGCTCTCTAGTTGTGGCACATGGGCTGTGGAGCAGGAGGGCTCAGTAATTATGGAGCCCAGTCTTAGCTGTTCCATGGCATGTGAAATCTTAGTTTGAAAACTAGAGATCGTACCTGTGTCCCCTGCTTTGGAAAGTGGATTCTTAACCACTGGACCACCATGGAAGTCCCTACCCCATTCCTTTTTATGGTTAAGTAATACTCCATTATATGTATATATACATTGTGTGTGTGTGTGTGTGTGTGTGTGTATCCATTCATTAGTTGTCCATTTGAGTTGTTTTTGCTTTATTTTACTATTATGAATAATGATGCTTTACCATTCATGTAGAATTTTTGGACTGAACATGTGTTGTCAATCCTCTTGGATATATACCTAGGAAGTGAAATTACTGAATCATATGGTAATATATGTTTAACTTTTTGAGGCAATGCCAAACTGTTTTCTACAGCAGTTGTGTCATTTTACATCCTCACCAGCCGTGGACAAGGGTTAAATTTATCCACACGCTCATCAGTATCTGTTATTTTTTCTCTTTAAGAAAAAAATGGGAATATGAAGTGGTATCTTGTTTTGATTTGCATTTCCCCAATGACAAACGATGTTTATTATTTTTTTTATGTGTTTATTGGCCATTTGTGTATCTTATTTGAAGAAACTCCTATTCAAATCTTTCACTCATTTAAAAATTGGATTATTTGTCTTCTTGTTGTAGAGTTGTAAGAGTTCATTATATATTCTGGATATGAGGTCTTTATCAGGTTGGCAAATATTTTTGCCCATTCTTTAGGCTGTCTTTTCACTTTCTAGATAGTGTTACTTAATGGGAAAATGTTTTAAATTTTGATTAAATATAACACCTGTTTTTCTCTGGTGCTTTTGATGTCATATATTAGAAACTATTGTCTAATCCATGGTCATGAAAATGTGCCCTTGTTTTCTTCTAAGATTTTTATAGTTTCAACTCTTACATTTAGGTCTTTGATCCATTTTGAGTTAATGGTTTTATATCATGCAAGATAAGCATCCAAATTTACTATTTTGCATGTGAATAGCCAGTGGTCCCAGCACTATTTGTTGTTTCTATCCATTAATCTATTACAGACATTCTTCATGGCATTCTTTATCCTCTTGTGTATATCCCACATATACAGACAGCTCTCTAGTGTTGAACTAGGCAATTGCCTGTCCTCTGGGATCCCTGGCATGTTCCTCCCCACATGCCCATCAGCTCAACCAGGGTCACTTAGGAACTTCCCAGCCTTCATTCCTTCCCAAAGCAAGAGCAAGAAACAGATGTTTCTCATTATTTGAGTCACAGATTAAAGCCATCCATTGTTCACATGGGGCAGTTTGTCATTCTATTTTCATTCTTTTTTCACATTTATTTTCACCAATCACCATCCCTTTTCTCAGAGGAGTGATAATGGCAGGATAGTTCTCTGTTTACTCTAAGAGTGTATCAAAAAGTGAACAAGAAAAAAAGCAAGATCCCCTATCAGGACCTCTGCTGAGATCTGCACACAACTCCTTAAACCAAAATGACCTTTGCAGCTGAGGAAATTTCAAGCCTCAGCATTTGGCATTGATGTTCCTGTTAGTGTTTGCCATGACATTCTCACAGGGTTTGTGGGCCTCACATATGTACTCAGTTGTTGCAGATCATTTTTCCTTTTACACGTCTCTTTAGTGATCTTAGGGCTTCCCTGGTGGCTCAGCTGGTAAAGAATCTGCCAGTAATGTGGGAGACCTGGGTTTGATCCCTGGTTGAGAGGATGCCCTGGAGAAGAGAAAGGCTACTCACTCCAGTATTGTGGCCTGGAGAATTGCATGGACTGTACAGACCATGGGGTCGCAAAGAATTGGACACAACTGAGCGACTTTCACTTAGTGATCTCAGGTCATCAGTAGCCTGAGAATCTCTGGCTGGGTAGGCAATAGGCAGAGGATACTGTAGGGGGAGCCCTGGAAATGCATAGCTGTATTAGAGATGGACTTCTGTTGGTGTGTGAAGACGGTGGTGTTGGGGACAAAGCAAATGTGAATAAAGAGATAGGGACGCATACCTAGAACTGATGATACAGGCTAACCTGGCTCACTTACCTGAACCAGACAGCTGATTCTCCCAGGCATGCATGGGACAGGGGTGACTCTCTACCCCACGATCATATCAGCAGTTCTCAGCCCACAAAGACCTATTTGCCTTTTGAGATTCACATAAAAGAAAATCTCCAATCCACTTAAATCTTTAAATTTATCCCTGAATTGAAAAGTCATATCCTTGCTTACCCTGTGAGTGTGTCAGCTAGTAAGAAAACTCCTCCTTGGGAGGAGACTTTCTGAAGAACCTCCATGGGCCCTAGAGAACCAAGTCTCCAGTGACAATCTCTTTGGACATGCAGAAACATCTGCATTCAAGCTGCTGGGGGGCGACAATTCCCTGCCGTTACAGAGGGCCAGGTCTGCACTAATGTCTTCTGGCCTTGCCATCACACACCTGAGTGAGTGTGTGGGTGCGTGGTTGTTTGCCTGCGGGGTCAGGAATGAGACAGCAGCATCTTTGTCCAACGCGTATATAAAATGGATGAAGAAACATCTGCAGATACTGATTTCTTTGAACACAATGTGACTGTCCAGTACATTTATTTCTTCCATTCAGTTCAATTCAAACAAATGAATATGTACTCAGACTCTGCCCTGGGGTGGTTCTGCCCTTGGTTCACCCGGGAGTCCAGGGGATGAGAGGGCAAATGGTCCTCATCTGCTTTCAGGAGTAAAAACAGTTCAGTGACAGGAGGGAGTCAAAGGCAGTCTGAGGTCAGGTGGAAAACACCTAAAATTAACAGTGACTGTTAGGTTCTGCAGAGTGGGGAGTTCAGGGACCACCAGGTAACACAGGAAGGTTTCAGGGGGGAGATTTGCCTGGGACGACTCTGAGGTTGGTAGATTAGGCAAGGTGAGGGAGAAAAGAAGGGAATTTGGGCCCTAAAGCAGCAGCGCACCTCAGATGAACGTGATTATCACTGCAAGGGACAAAGTATTATTTACCATGTGTCAGGACAAACCTCACGAAAGGAATCGGGAGCTACCTGCAGAGCAGGTACAGCAGGAACAGGGAGCCCAGCAGCGCTGCCAGGCCCAGTTTACACCGGGTCCCCGGCCCCGCCTTGGGCCACCGCCACAGCCCGGCCAGAGGCCAGCGCCGCGGCCACATCGGCGTGCGGGCGGCCAGTCGCTCCGCCACCCTGAGCAGCCTCTCCTCGGGGCTCAGCCCGCCCAGGGTCTGCGCCAGGCGGTACACGTCGTTGGTGTAGGGGGCGCCGCCGTGGTCCCGCACCAGCTCCTCCACCAGCCCCATCAGCTCGCCGACCTGCGCCTCGCGCTCCCCGTCGGCCGCTCGGTTGTCGAAGGCGCAGCAGCGGCCCCCGCACTCGGCCACCAGCTCCCGGAGGGCGCGGTTGTCGGTGTCGCGCACGTACTGCTGCAGCGAGCCCCGCGCCAGGTCCTCCCTGCGGGTGAAGACCACGACGGCGCGCGCCGCGATGTCCGCCCCGAAGAGCGCCTTCACCCCGCGCCAGGCCCGCAGGTCCTGGGCGGTGAATCGGCCGAGCTGGGTCACCAGGAGCACGGCGTGGGGCCCCGGGGCCGACAGCAGGTAGCAGCGGGCTCTCTCCTCGAAGCCCGGGTCTGCCTGGGCGACCTCGGGGCTGAAGAGGTCAGGGGTGTCGAGGATTTCCACGTTCCACGAGGCCCAGCGGCAGCTCCCCGTGGCGCAGGCCCGGGTCACCGCCGTGGCCGCGAGCCTGGAGAGGAAGTGCTTCCGCTGGAGGATGCTGTTGCCTGTGGCGCTCTTCCCGGTCCCCGACCTCCCAACCAGGAGGAGGCGCAGCCTGCGCTCCTGCGGGGCGGACCTGAACTCCTGGAAACCTGTGGGCACAGGTGGTCTGTAAGCTTCGGAACCTGAGAGCGACAAGTCCCGGTCCCCGGGTCTCCTGGACGCCTTGCGAGCAAAGGAGAACAGAGCGCTTCCACGGTTGTGTTTGGGGCCAAACCTTTACTGGTTTCCCTTGTGGCTCAGCTGGTAAAGAATCTGCCTGCAGTGCGGGAGACCTGGGTTGGATCCCTGGGTTGGAAAGACCCCCTGGAGAAGTGAAAGGTTACCCACTCCAGTATTCTGGCCCGGAGAATTCCATGGACTGAATTGTCCATGGGATCGCACAGTCTGACATGACTGGGCGACTTTCACTGTAACTTTACTGAGTGGCCTGGTGTGAGATTTGTACACTCCAAGGGGGTCTCTACCTGTCCATTTCTTCCGTCTTTAGTGTCACACGTGCACCTGTAGGTGCTCCAGCTGCTGCTGAACATTTCTCCAGAGGATGCGCCTTTGTAATACAGACCATTACTTCCTCTGATATGATCTGTCATCCAGAGCTGGTCCTTCTTTTCCCTGATGGCCTCCCACTGGAGAAAGGGGTGGGGCAGTGGGCCCAGCGCGGAGGGCTACCTGGAGTCCCCTAGCCGGGGATTGAATCATAGACCTGTCCTCTACCAACCTTGTAACCCTGGGAGCTGCTTAATCTAAGTGTTAAACCTCTTCTGCAAACGGAATCAATGCTATAGCACTGTCCTCATAGAGTGTCAGAAAATAAGATGAGATCAACTCTGTTCCTTCCCTTCCTGCCTCCTTCCTCCTCTTCTCTTGTCTCTTAAACCTGCTGCCTAATAAGACACTTGAGTAGCCCTCCATCCTTGTTCCCTAACACCTTCTACCTGGTGAACCATGTTCCCTCTAATACACGACTTGATGCCCTCTACATCCACTTCTGTGTATTCATTTTACTTTGGAAACAGAGATACAGGTTAGTCAAAGAACTTGATATCTCACAGCAGGGTGGGGGTAAAGATCCAGGTGAAGTGCCAGCCCCAGGGCTCTTGCTGCTTCACCCCAGCATCAAGTCACCTCTCAGCTTCTCTTGTTCAGTCTTGAATTAGCCCATCCCCCTACCATCCAGGGTTCACACCTGGGGGCAAATACACATTGTGAGACGTGTTCTTACCATAGGCATTTTCTTCATCTCTTGGTGTCTTCCGTCCTCCCATGATTACCTGAAAGAGCCCCAGACACAGTTTGTTCATTCACTCACTTACCAAATAGGTGTAACTGCCTACAGTGTGCCAGGCCAGGTCTAAAATGCTGGTGACCTCACAGTGAGAAGGTCGTAGTTCCTGCCTTCCCTGGGGCATTGGAAAGAGATTGGAGGAAATGTTCAGCAAAGACATTTGGAGAAGCCTAGTCTGGGGTTGGGATGATACTGTGAGAACACCTGGTAAGCTTGGCTATGTCTTCTCAGGGCCCCCAAATGCAAAGAGCAGAGGGGAGATGATAACATTTATTCCATGTCAAGATGAGCCCCTTAGCTGGTCTGGAAATTAGTAGAGCTTATTGTAGGGGCTGTAGGATACCTGGTCTTGAAGAGCATGTACAGCTTGCTTGCCCCCAGTCCCAGTGCAGAGGCAGTAGATTGAACACTGCCTGGTGCTCTGGCCAGCCTGCCAGGACTGCCCCCAGAGTACCTCCCAGTGCCCGGGATCCTACTCCATCCCCTACTGCTCCCCGCAAAGGCAAAAGCCACCACTGCCAATGGGTAGGTGAGCACCAGGGAAGGAGCAGAGAAAGCTCTGTGGTCTGGCTCCAACCCTTTGGTTCCCCATCCTGCCTCTAACCAAGGGGTACACACCAGGAAAAATGGAACCAGCTCAGAAGTGAGGCCCCAAGCCCTCAGGCCCTGGCTATGCCCCCAGACAAAGTGAAAACAGTCATCAATCTGGGGGAAGATTAAGCTCCCTTAAGACTCCCGGTTCTCCCGCTTGGCTTTTGACTCCTCCCACAATAGGGTGGCAGCTGGTACAGAGCCTGGGAGAAGCCCTGGCTGGCACCTGGCTCTGGCTGTAGCCCCTTTGACTCCAGTCCTGCCTCCCACCACTGCAGTGGCTGCCAGCACACCCTGGGAGAAGACACAGTCACCGCTTACTTCTGGTCCAGCTTTCCCACCAAAGCCACCAGGCACATGCACAATGCAAAGGGACACTCCCACACAAGGACATGCCTTCAAGACCAGGATAGGTGACCGTTTCAACTAATTTCATAGCAGCAGACTGAGAAAGTTAAAGAAAATGAGAAAACAGAGGCACATATTTTAAATGAAAGAACAAGATAACAGAGACAAATAATTTGCTTGCCAAAGAGTCCAAAGCAACAGTAATAAAAACTCTAACTGAACTTGAGAAAATGCAGCTGAACACAGTGGGAACTTCAGCAAAGAACTAGGAAATACAAAAACCATAACCATCAGAGCTGATGATTATGATAGCTGAAATGAAAAACATGCTAGAAGGAATTCAGGCCAGCTGAGGTGACACAGAAGAACACATAAGACAGAAGAGTGGAAATCACTTAACCAGAACAGCAAAAAGAAAAACACGTTTAAAAAATGGATGATATAGAAAAGTATAACTTTCCAAAACTGAACCAGGAAGAAATAGAAGATCTTAACAGACTGATCACAAGCATAGAAATCAAAACTGTAATCAGAAATCTTCCAGCAAACAAAAGCCCAGGACCAGATGGCTTCACAGCTGAATTCTACCAAAAATTTAGAGAAGAGCTAACACCTATCTTACTCAAACTCTTCCAGAAAATTGCAGAAGAAGGTAAACTTCCAAACTCATTCTATGAGGCCACCATCACCCTAATTCCAAAACCAGACAAAGATGCCACAAAAAAAGAAAACTACAGGCCAATATCACTGATGAACATAGATGCAAAAATCCTTAACAAAATTCTAGCAAACAGAATCCAACAACATATTAAAAAAATCATACACCATGACCAAGTGGGCTTTATCCCAGGAATGCAAGGATTCTTTAATAT